GAATTATTAACCTGATAAATTCTTGCTACTTCAAAGTGGCGCGGTGTCACGTGCTGTCGACACTTGCTTTAGGTTAACGTCCTTTTGGCTTTTTCTACGACTTCCAAGTTCGAATCTCAAGAAAAGTTGAATGGTCGTCGCGAGAGGAACACCTGAGGCCAAGGCCTTCGTTTTCATGTGTCGTTTACTGGATTTCGCAAAAGGTGGTTTTAAAATCCACTGTTATGAAAGAGAAAGAGAGTGCAAAGACTGCCCTAGTTCTTGTCCGAAGTTCAAATAAGCTAGAAGCACAGCCGCTGGTCGTTGTGTAAAGTTAGACGAAGAACAATCATTCCCGGAAGCAGTTGAGTTTTAGGAGGGAATGGGGGAACATTCAGTTCTGAGATTTGAAAAAAAACAACCACCCCCCCGAGTTTATAGTCTTTTGTGCCAATTGCACCAATTTATTAGTGATATTTCAAGTTATTGAGAGTCATTGAATGGAGAAATTAATTCTCATATTTTGTAAAAAAAAATTTCGAATAATTCTTTTTGAAAAATATAGAACAGCGTAAATTCTTGACTAGAAGTTTTTTTTTTTAAAAAACGATATTAAGTGGAGGGATTTTTATACTTTGCTCATCTCACTAATTGTAACCAGGAGTGGAATGCTTCTCTTACGTGATAAAAATATAGAGCGCGATAATCACTTTAGTTTAATTAAATTGTTTGAAATGAGTTATTCGTATTTTTAGCAAAGCTCAGCATTTAATATCGTAAAGATTTGTTTTAATGTTTAATTTTTTTAAGCAAATGAGGATCTTTGGAAATATGGGTATTCTTTGTTTGAAAAAATAGTCTGAGGTGCCAAATCACACCAGTTTTCTTTTCATTGTAGTTAGTCTTCATATGTTAAAATAACTATGTTTTTTTTTAATAAATCAAATTTGAATAATTTTATCTTAAGGTGCATCTATTTAGCTTACAAAATTCACCGGAATTCTGGAAATTGATCAATTTTTACAAAACTACACCATTTTATAAAAAATGTCAATTTTAGAAAATTTTTGTTTCATTTTCATCTGATCCATTAATTGCATCTCATTTAATAAATCATAGTTAAATAATTTTATCTCAAAGTGCATCTAATTAGCTTTCAAAATACACTGGAATTATGTAAATTGATCTATTTTTAGAGAAACTATACCGTTTTATAAGAAAAATCAATTTTGAGAAATATTATTTTCATTTTCATCTGTTCAAATAGTTATCTTTTTTGTAATAATTCAAATTGTAATTATTTTTTCTTGAAGTGCATCTACCCAGCTTTAAAAATTCACCGGAATTATGCAAATTGATCCGTTTTTGGAGAAACTATGTCGTTTTATAAAAAATGTCGATTTTGCGATATTTTTGTTTCATTTTCATCTGTTCAAATAATTGTATATTTTTATAATAAATCAAATTAGAATAATTAAATCTTAAACTGTATCCATTTATCTTTCAAAATTCACCTGAATTCTGTAAATTGTTTAATTATTTAAGAAACTACAATTTTTATAAAAAATGTGAATTTTAAGAAATTTTTGTTTCATTTTTATATGTTGAAATAATTATGTTTTTTTCAATAAATCAAATTTAACTAATTTTCTCTTAAAGCGAATCTATTAGGCTTTCAAAATTCACCGGAATTCTAAAAATTGATCCATTTTTACAAAACTACCATATTTTATAGAAAAAAGTAAATTTTGAGAAAATTCTGTTTCATTTTCACCTGTTTAAATAATTATCCATTTTTTAATAAATCGAATTTAAATAATTTCCTCTTAAAGTGCATCTATTTAGCTTTCAAAATTCAGTGAAATTGTAAAAATTGATCAATTTTCTGAAAAGCTGCATTTCTTTATAAAAAATGTCGATTTTGCGATATTTTTGTTTCATTTTCATCTGTTAAAATAATTGTATATTTTTATAATAAATTAAGTGTAAATAATTTTCTCTTAAAGTCCATATATTTAGCTTTCAAAATTCACCCGAATTCTGTAAATTGTTTAATTTTTAAAGAAACTACATTTTTTATAAAAAATGTGAATTTTTAGAAATTTTTGTTTCATTTTTATATGTTGAAATAATTATGTTTTTTTTAATAAATCAAATTTAAATAATTTTTTCTTAAAGCGAATCTATTAAGCTTTCAAAATTCATCGGAATTCTGAAAATTGATCTATTTTTACAAAACTACCATATTTTATAGAAAAATGTCAATTTTGAGAAAATTCTGTTTCATTTTCACCTGTTTAAATAATTATCCATTTTTTAATAAATCGAATTTAAATAATTTCCTCTTAAAGTGCATCTATTTAGCTTTCAAAATTCAGTGAAATTGTAAAAATTGATCAATTTTCTGAAAAGCTGCATTTCTTTATAAAAAATGTCGATTTTGCGATATTTTTGTTTCATTTTCATCTGTTAAAATAATTGTATATTTTTATAATAAATTAAGTGTAAATAATTTTCTCTTAAAGTGCATATATTTAGCTTTCAAAATTCACCCGAATTCTGTAAATTGTTTAATTTTTAAAGAAACTACATTTTTTATAAAAAATGTGAATTTTCAGAAATTTTTGTTTCATTTTTATATGTTGAAATAATTATGGTTTTTTTTATAAAATCATATTTGAATATTTTTTTCTCAAAGGGAATCTATTTACCTTTCAAAATTCACCGGAATTCTGAAAATTGATCCATTTTTGAGAAACTACTATTTTTTTAAAAAAATGTCAATTTTGAGAAATTTCTGTTTCATTTTCATTTGCTTAAATAATTTTATATTGTTATTCTAAATCAAATATAAATAATTTTCTTTTAAAGTGCATTTATTTAGCTTTCAAAATTCACCAGAATTGTTTAAATTGATCAATTTTTGGAGAAACTGCAATCTTTTATAGAAAATGTAAATTTTGTTAAATTTTTGTTTCATTTTTACCTACTCAAATAATTGTATGTTTTATTATAAAACAAATTTAAATAATTTTCTCTTAAAGTGCATCTATTTAGCTTTCAAAGTTCCTTGAAATTATGCAAATTGATCAATTTTTTGAAAAACTATGTCGTTTTTTAAAAAATGTCAATTTTATGAAATTTTTGTTTGATTGTAATTTATTCATATTATTATATTTTTTGTAATAAACACAATTTGAATAATTTTATCTTAAAGTACATCTATTTAGCTTTTAAGTTTCTCTGGAATTTTTTAAATTGATCAATTTCTTGATAAACTACATGTTTTTATAAAGAATGACAATTTTGAGAAATTTTTGTTTTATATTTCGTTCTTACAACTTTTTATCTATTTGATTTTACTTTATTGAAAAATAAATTATACCATCATCTTCCTTATAGAAAATCGAAGAAAATTGACTATATTAAACCTATTTTTCAGTAAAATATATATACTTTTCTCTAATGTTTTAAATTTGAGGTGTCAAATCACCCCAATTTTTCGTTAGAGGGTAAAAAAGCATATTTTCGTTCTAGGGTTAATATTCAAACTAAAATAATAATATTATTATTTTAATAATAATTTAAAAAAGAACGAAGAAAGACTGATCTATAATAAGGTCACCCACTTTCTGTATATATGGCAAATAAGGATGTAGAGGACAGAAGCAATATCTATATATTCATAAAGGAGGCGAGCATCAGTATTTTTAAAAGAATCTTTGGAATAGTTTTGGAGGTTTTGGAAAAGTAATTCTCATATTTTTAAAAAATATTTGCATATATTTTATTCAAAGTTTTGCAAAGATAAGAATTTCATCGAATTATCTTTAAGCCATTAACGTCAAAATATAAAAAAAAATTGACTTGGGATCAAGGTAAGAATTTATATCCTACATATTTAGTAGGAAATTGTTCTAGACGATTTTCTAATTACGAATTATGGTACAACAATAAATTTTACGAATTTACGAATTAGGAGCAAATTTTTAGTAGATAATGTGAAATAAATGAACTTAAAAAAGTGAACAGAATCACAAGCCGACGATTAAGAAAACTTTGCTATATAAAGTAGGAAAAAAAATTCGTATAAAAACTTTCGTAACATAGTGACGAATTGTCAGACTCCTCTTCTGACCAGGGTGGTAAGAGAAGTTATTTTTGAAGACCGAATAATGCCAGAAAGAGTCTATTTTATTATATGTCGTGAGGATCTGAATTATGGCATCATCGGTTAAAAATAATGAGGTAACCTCACAGTGAACCGACTCTAGGAGACACGTCGGCAAAAGTCTTGGTCGGTAACTTACATTATTTTGTGATATATATCATCGTAAAAATTTCGATTTCCATTAACCACCACTTTTAGACTTCTCGATTCTTGAAAAATAATTTCACCTCTATCAAAAAGCAATCTACCGGAAAGCTTACTCTATTGTTACAAAATTCCAATTTTTTATTCTCAAAACCAATGTATCCTTAAAATGAAATTATTATTTAAATATGTTTATACAAAGAATAAAAATTCACGGGTGAAAAAAAAATTAGTTTCTATTCAAGATGAAATTTAATTGCAATTCAGTTTGAAAATCGCTGAATTCACTCTCTCTCTCTCTCGTTGGTCAAGCCGAGTAAAATTAACGAATTCGACCATTAGCAATGATTGCCTATTACTACGCTACAATTGAAATTCAAACTGGACTCAATGTTCCGATTTCATTTATACTCATTTAGCCTGAATTGATAATACGAGAACATGGGTAGTCAATTGTCGAGAATTTTCCAAATTTTCCGAGGTTAGTGCACGCAGCGAATGCAGCATTAATAGTATGTGACAAGATCATTAACTGTTCAATCCCTATTGCTTTGTTTCGAAATTCAAGCATGTGATAGGATTTTTGAATTGAGAGTTAATTCCCAGCGTAATTCTTTAATCAAAAATGATTTAATCTCCATCATCTATACAATTATTTAAAATTTTATAAAACTATTTTTTAAGATAACATTTAATTTATTTACAGATATCGGGGCACTTGCACAATACGGGTCAATTCCTTGTGTTCAGGGCGGATAGAGACGTCAAGATTCGAGTAAATATAACGGGAGGTCCACTCGCCTATCATTATCAATTCGAGGAAATCTATATTCATTATGGGTTAGACAATTCACATGGTTCTGAACATCGGGTCAACAATTATGCTTTTCCTGCTGAGGTAAGATTTTTATTTTTCATTGGCGTAATTACCCGACGAAATATAAATTTTAAGTTTCCACGTCAAACCATTTATCGAAATAGCATAAAAAGGTTTTTGTTATTGATTTACTTTTGGCTGGTGAGCTTAGTCTCTGTACTAATCAGAAAAGTGACGAAATACTGATTAGCAGATTTGAGATTTGAATTTAAATATTATTATATTTTTTCTAATAAATCAAAGATAAATGATTTTACCTTAAAGTGCATCTATTTAGCTTTCAAAATTCACCGGAATTCAGTAAATTGATCAATTTTTTGAAAAATTATGTCGTTTTATAAAAAATGTCAATTGTGAAAAAAAATTTGTTTCATTTTTATTTTTGAAATAATTATCTCTTCATATATTAAATAAAATTTAAATAATTGTACCTTAAAGTGCATCTATTAAACTTTCAAAATACACTAAAATTATGCAAATTTATCCATTATTTGAGAAACTACACCGTTTTATAATAAATGGCAATATTGAGGAATTTTTGTTTTATTTTCATCTGTTCTGATAATTGAATATTTTGTAATAAATAAAATTTTAATAATTTTATCTTAAACTGCACCTATTTAGCTTTCAAAATATACTGGAATTATGCAAATTGATCGATTTTTTTAAAAACTATGTCGTTTTATAAAAAATGTCAATTTTGAAGAAATTTTGTTTAATTTTTATCTTTTGAAGTAATTATATCTTCTTGTATGATATTAAATTTAAATAAGTTTATCTTAAAGTACAACTACTTAGCTTTAAAAATTCACCGGAATAATGCAAATTGATCCATTTTTGAGAAAATACACGGTTTTATAAGAAATGTCAGTTTTGAGTAATTTTTGTTCTATTTTCATCGGTTCAAATAATTATATATTTTTATGATAAATCAACTTTGAATAATTTTCTTTTCAAATGCATCTATTTAACTTTCAAAGTTCCCTAAATTTCTGTAAATTCATCAATTTTTTTAAAAACTATGTCGTTTTATAAAAAATAACAATTTTGAAAAATTTTTGTTTTAATTTCATCTGCTCTAATAATTAAATCTTTTGTTATAAATCAAATTTAAATAATTTTATATTAAAGTGCATCTGTTTAGCTTTAAAAATACACTTGAATTATGCAAACTAAACCATTTTTTAAGAAACATTGTCAATTTATATAAAATGTCAATTTTGTGAAATTTTTGTTTCATTTTCCTTTAGTCATATTATTCTATTTTTTGTAATAAATTGAATTTTAATAATTTTCTCTTATTGTGCATCTGCTTAGCTTTCAAAATATACTGGAATTATGCAAATAGATCCATTTTTTAAGAAATACACCGTTTTATAAAAAAAGTCAATTTTGATAAATTTTTGTTTCACTTTAATCGGTCCTAATAATTTAATTTTCTGTAATCAAAAGAATTTGAATAATTTTATCCTAAAATTGCATCTATTTAGCTTTCAACATACACTGAAATTATGGAAATTGATTCATTTTTTGAGAAACTATGTAGTTTTATAAAAAATGTCAATTTTGTGAAATTTTTGTTTCATACTTATCTTTTGAAATAATGATATCTTCTTATATTAATTTAAATTTAAATAATTTTACCTTAAAGTGCATCTACTTAGCTTTCAAAATACACTTAAATTATGCAAATTGATACATTTTTTAAAAAACTACACCGTTTTATAATAAAAGAGAGAATTTTGATTAATTTTTGTTTCATTTTCATCGGTCTTAATAATTAAATCTTTTGTAATAAATACAATTTAAATCATTTTATCTTAAATTGCATCTATTTACCTTTTAGTTTACACTGGAATTATGGAAATTGCTCCATTTTTTGAGAAACTACGTCGTTTTATAAAAAATGTCAATTTTGTGAAATTTCTGTTTCATACTTATCTTTTGAAATAATGCTATCTTCTTACAATAAATTAAATTTAAATAATCTTATCCTAAAGTGCATCTACTTAGCTTTCAGAATTCACCAGAATCGTAAAAATTTCTCAATTTTTTGAGAAACTGTGTTGTTTTATAAAAAATGTCAACTTTGAAAAAATTTTGTTTCACTTTCATCTGCTCTAATAATTAAATATTTTGTTATAAATCAAATTTGAATAATTTTATATTAAAGTGCATCTGTTTAGCTTTAAAAATACACTTGAATTATGCAAATAAATCCATTTTTTAAGAAACATTGTCAATTTATAAAAAATGTCAATTTTGTGAAATTTTTGTTTAATTTTCCTTTAGTCATATTATTATATTTTTTGTAATAAATAGAATTTGAATAATTTTCTGTTATTGTTCATCTACTTAGCTTTCAAAATACACTGGAATTATGCAAATTGATCCATTTTTGAGAAACTACACCGTTTTATAAAAAAAGTCAATTTTGATAAATTTTTGTTTCACTTTAATCGGTCCTAATAATTTAATTTTCTGTAATAAAAAGAATTTGAATAATTTTATCCTAAAATTGCATCTATTTAGCTTTCAACATACACTGAAATTATGGAAATTGATTCATTTTTTGAGAAACTATGTCGTTTTATAGAAAATGTCAATTTTGTGAAATTTTTGTCTTATACTTATCTTATAAAATAATGATATCTTCTTATAATAAATTAAATTTAAATAATCTTATCTTAAATTGCATCTACTTAGCTTTCAGAATTCACCAGAATCGTAAAAATTGCTCAATTTTTTGAGAAACTGTGTTGTTTTATAAAAAATGTCAATTTTGAAAAAATTTTGTTTCATTTTTATCTTTTGAAATAATTATATCTTCTTGTATTAAATCAAATTTAAGTAATTTTATACTAAAGTGTATCTATGTAGCTTTCAAAATTCACTGGAATTCTGTGAATTGATTCATTTTTTGAAAAATTAAAACGTTTTAAAAAAAAGTAAATTTTGTGAAATTTTTGTTTTATTTTTATTCATTCATATTATTATATCTTTTTATATTAAATCAAATTTAAGTAATTTTTGCTTAAAGTGCATCTATTTAGCTTTCATAATTCACCGGAATTCAGAAAATTGATCAATTTTTTGAAAAACTACGTTGTTTTATAAAGAAATGTCAGTTTTGAAAAAATTTTATTTTTCTTTATCTTTTGAAATAATGATATCTTCTTGTATTGAATCAAATTTAAGTAATTTTTTCCAAAAGTGTATCTATTTAGCTTTCAAAATTCACCGGAATTCTGTAAATTGATTCATTTTTTTCAAAAAACTAGATTTTTTATAAATAATGTTAATTTTGAGAATTTTTTGTTTCATCTTTACTGTTCAAATAATTATATATTTTTATTAAAAATTAACCATGAATAATTTTCTCTTAAAGTGCATGAACTTAGCTTTTAAAATTTACACTGTAAATTTACACAAAATTTACTTTGAACTTTTTAAATTAGTCAATTTTGTGAAAAACTACATTAGTAGTAAATTCTGGACTGGAGTCGAAGAAGACACTTGATGATAGTACACAACTAGTTAACTTGATGGCGGTTTCTGGACTGACCAGTTCACAATTGGTATCTTGATTTTCATTGTGTTAATTTAGAATTACATTTGGAAATTTCAGAGATTATGAAACAGATTTAATTATTTAAAAACAATTTGTCGGACTATCGTCAAACCGCATGAAATTTGTACCGGATATTAAGCGTAACTTAAATGAAATATCGATAAGTGAAGATAGAACTCTATTTACATTTTTATAACCTAGATACAAAAAAATTATTCATATAATCGGTTTTTCAATGAATAGACACGTAATTGTACACTGATTTTATTAAATTACTTTTAATACTGTTACACAAAAAAAGGAAAAAAAATTTTTTTTTTTATTACACCAAGATAAAAGTGAATTTTTAGTATAAACGAGGTCGAGAAATTTACAATTGAAATCAGCTTCAGTGTCACGGGTTCCTGGTGATTTCCGTCGGGATGGAGAAAATGCAGCTGCTGAGTGAATTGTAATCGAAACCCGGTGTTAATTTCCGATTAACACTCAATCGCCTATTCCCTCGTGGATCGAAAGTAATAACGACCGGACGCTCTTCCGAACGCAATAACGCATCATGAAAAATGCAATCGCGCTTTTAACTGCGGTTTTTCCTCTTTTCACGAGTTGGTTCGATTTTCAATGGCTTTACGAGTTGAACAAGTCAGTACGCAATATCATTTTAAAAATTAAATATAAAAATATATTTTAACTGACTGAAAATAATATTCGGTGAATAAAAAGAAAATTCATACTTTTCATTCCAAACAAATAAGCAATGCTTTTATTTTCATAATGAACGTAATAAAAGCTCATTCCATTCAAAAATAGAACACAAAGAAGAATTTTCATTTTATTTACGAATTTCTAAAAAAAATTTATAAATATTTGAAAGATGTATATAGAATATGAAAAAAAAAATTTTTTTTCAAAGAGAGAGTTCGTAACGACAATTAGTGGCTACATCTGGCAACAAAAATAGACGATGAATGGACCGCAAATCGGGAATTTGAATCACGTCTACGTTTACTTCGAACTGAAGCGACTTTGACCACTGGGCGATATGTATAGCACATAGCATCGACGACTAAACATCAACCACTAACCAATTCGTATGCATCCACGTCTACCACGAACCGATTTTCCTGGCATATATCATAGAAAATTGTACATCGTGCAGTTCAAAAAGCATCTGCCGAATCTACTGCCAATGGAGACTATATTCCTGGGGGTTGAGTCAATATTTCGTTAAAGTATACGCGTTGCTGTCCTGATTTATATTCACTATTTAGCTTCACAGGCATTTCGCCTCGAATAACATATTAATTCTGAATACTGCTATCATTCAGAAAATTTAAGGTTTTTAGTTTTAAGAAAAATATTTACTTCTCAAGTATATAGTTAGACTGGGCATTTTGACAAATACAAACATCTGATTGATTTCTTTAATTAAGTTCTAACTGTAACATTA